TTAATAATTTTATTAAGTAAAGATGCATTCAATTCAAAAGTAACAGAGTTTTTTACATTGTTACAAAAAATGTGTCACCATTTCCACACAAAAAAAAAAATTTAATAAGAAATGTTTCTTGAGCAGCAAATCAGTATATTAGAATGATTTCTGATGGATAATGTGACACTGAAGATGATGCTGAAAATTCAGCTTTGTCATCACAAGAAATAAATTACGTTCAAAAATTATTATTAACATAGAAAACTGTTATTTTAAATTGTAATAATATTTCACAATATTACTGTTTTTACTGCATTTAAAATGCAGCCCTTGTGAGCATAAGAAACTTCTAGTAGACTTCGGTAGTATTTATTTGTATTTAGTTTATGTATTTCATCATATTTAATAAATTAGCTTTAGAACATTAGAACGTATTTAATGTTTATCATATAACAAGTCATTGAATAATTCATTGAACTTGTTTGTTCAAAAACACTTTGTGAATTCAGAATTGCATACTAATCTGACTATTGTTACCATATCTTTGCATTCAGCAACTGATTTATTCAGGAACTGATTTATTCAGTGTTTCTGAGTGTATCACCGAATCATTCATTCAAATGATTCATTCATAAACATTGATTCATTCAATAACACCACCACTATATGTTGCATGCAAATAGGGGTTGTGCGATATCACAATTTTTTTTATCATGGATGATTAAAATGTCTCAATGATCTGCTTTTGAAGAAATATCATAGTATCGTACTTCAACGCACATCAGTTGCAGTTCTGGTGCCTCCGTCTCAATATACTGTACAACATGACATACATTCACATCAAATGTTAACTCAGCGGTAGAGTTACACTCACGGGACACTGCACTTATTTGCAATCACAAAATTACATTATTTGCATGTGCTTTAAAGCCTTGCCGGTTAAACATTTAATTTGCGTGCTGTTCTGACATGCGCTTTTTCTGAACATGTACATCTGAAGTGCGCTCACAATAAAAAGCCAGTCAAACAGCGCCTCATTGTCTTTCTCATCTAATTGTGGTAATATTGTAAAAAACACACAAGGTTTACATATAAACACAGCTGGTTATGTCTAAAGTGAAAGTAAACAATTGAGAGAAATATGTTAATACGTGTCCCTGTATGTTAGATGCGTGCAGCTCTTAAAGTGACAGCAGACTAATAGTAAACATGCTGCCGCTTGTCATTAAGTTCACCCAAAAATTACAATTCTGTCATTATTTACTCACTCTCACGTTGTCCCAAACTTGTACTGATTTCTTTCATATGCTGAACACAAAAGAAGATATTTTGAAGAATCTGGATAACCAAACAATTGCTGGTCCCCGTTGACTTTTATAGTGAAAAAATAATACTATGGAAGTCACTGGAGACCAGCAACTGTTAGGTTACCCACATTCTTCAAAATAAAATGTATGTTCAACAGAAGAAAGAAACTCATTCAGGTTTAAAACAACTTGAGAGGGAGTAAATTATGGCAGAATTTTCATTTTTGGTTGAACTCTCCCTTTAATGTTAATAAAACAAGAAAAACACAAAGAGAAAAATCAATAACTGCTCTTGACTGAAGAACTTTAAGACCGTTGCTTTAATAAGAATCAATGTAGAATTTATACAGTGAGGTGTATATAGTTTTTTTTTTTTTAGATTTGTTCATTCAATATCTTCAATACTACTGCTAAATACACCTACTGTACCTGAAAAATAAAGAAAAGAAAAAAAAAACTGAAAAATGCTGTACCTGAAAAATAAATTTGTTTTATTTGTATTTTATGTGTATTTGTATTGTGTATCTTTGTTCTTATTTTTTTAATAGCAAAGATAAAATAATGAAAAAGATTTGTATCTTTGCCCACTTTGGTCTAAATGTCTGCCATTCTTTTTTATTTTATATTTTGTTACCTTATAAGGCTTTGTTTTTAAAATAGGGAATTAATTTGGCTGTATTGCTCAGACAACTTGCAAAATAGTAAAATCAACATGACAAAGAATCATGATAAAATCGTGAATCGTGATATGATATTTTTGCCATATCGCCGACCCCTACTTTCAAGTAGCTATAGCAAAATCGTTAAAACTTTTTATCGCACATGGTTGGGACCCATTGAAGAAAGTATTCAGCTACCTACATAAAGATTCTTTTAGCTTGTTTATGGTCTTGCTAAATAGGGACTGTTTGTTTTCTTGGCTCCTAAAGATTTTTGTTGCACACCCTTCTAATCTTGCACAGCAAATCTGTCAAGCCAAAATAATGGCAAAACAAACAAGTCCAGATATCAGCACTGTATAAATAATTCATCAGTTCGTACAGTATATAATTTTATGTAGCTTTAGTTTATTTGCGTTTGTGTTGTTATCTGTCACTTTCTCATTCTGTCTCTTTCTCTCCCTCTATCATTTCTCACTTTCTCTCTCTCTGGACCATGTCTTATCAGATCTCCTAGTGGGTGCCGTCTACCCCCATCTGCCTCAGACTGCCTTGCTCCATGTTCCCCATGAGGCCTGCCATCATTAATATTGCTTCCACATGTGTGTTATGAAAAAAACCCACTGGTACTCACCCGCACCTGCTGTCGGTGCTGTTGGGTGATGCTTGGGCAGAGAGGGAGAGACACAATGCCTTTGGGGACTTGAGCTAATGGCTAACATGTAGAAACAGATGTGGAATTCAACATTCAGTGAACGTGATCAATAATGTGGAAATAAAGCGTTTTACGTATGTGTAAGGAGATGAGGTTCAATCATTTGCAGGGTTTTGCAGCTTTTTTTTTTTAAATAAATGTTGACTATTAAAGGGGTCCTATTATGCTCTTTTACAAAGTCTTGATTTTGTTTTGGGGGTGTACTAGAACATGCTCTCATGCTTGGTGGTTCGAAAAACGCATTATTTTTCACATAATTTACATTATTAAAATACCTTTCTCCCCATCCTGGCACAAACGGCTCGATTAGTTCCGGCTTTGATGAAGGTCCGCCTTCCGAAACTGTACTGTGTCATGTTGTGGAAGCTGTCCTCAGTAAAATGCGCAGCACACAATAGCAAATCGGGGTTATAATGCTCAGGGACAGAGTTAAAAAATAAATAGCAACCACTGTTTCCGTGACATCATCCGCTTTCGGAAGCCCAAACAAAGACATTTGGACACGGAGGTGAAAAAAACTGCGTTTCAGGTGGTCGCGCATCGGACGAGAAGCGCAGCATCGCGCCACATCTTTAAAATTCAAATACATTATTTTCTATGAGTGTAGGCACACCGGCGGCGCCGTTCGGCCTCTGTCCGCGGTGCCCAGCTACGTCGTGTTATACTTGTAAGAATTGTTCTAGACATGCCGAAAATGTGAGGACTGGAATTGAGAACCGCTGTTCTAGACATGCCAAAAATTTGACGCTACAGCACAGCATCTCTTCTTCTTGGTTTTCTCTGATGCACTAACTCTGTAGCAGCTCTTCTTCTTTGTCGTCTCGTCTGATGCACTCACTCAACCAAGCGTTCTAACCACAACCTCGCCCCTCCCCACCCCCCAACCTTTCGAATTTCTGTAGGCGGGAATTATTTGTAATGATATTCCAATGAGCCGCTTTGTGATGTCACAAAGCCCGGAAAACAAACGCTGTAGTCCAAACGAGCCGTTCGTTGTAGTTCTTGAAAAGGGATTTTTAAAAAACGAAATATCTCCCTTTGGAGTGGACTTTGAGATTTGTAACTTTCTAGATCTTTTTTATGCCCAAGCATACACACTACACACTGACTAAAATTAAAAAAGTGAAAAAGCATAATAGGACCCCTTTAAGTCATTGTTTGTAATGATTTTTGTATGCAAAATAAAACCTACTGAAAAGACTGCTGGTTTAGTCCTGGTCTTGGCTGATGGACCAGCATAGCCGTGCTGTTTAATACCAACAGATAATAAAGGTTAACTAGCATGGCTAGTTAAGCTTGTTAAAAGGATAGTTCACCCAAAAATGAAATTATGTCATCATATACTCACCTTCAAGTTGTTCCAAACCTGTATGAATTTCTTTTTTCTGTTGAGCACAAAAGATGATGTTGGCAGTAGCCATCGACTTCTATAGTATGGAAAAAATACTATGGAAGTCAACTATTTGGTTACCAACATTCTTCAAAATACCTTCTTTAGTGTTCAACAAAACAAAGAAACTCATATAGGTTTGGAACAATTGGAGGGTGAGTAAATGATGACAATTTAAGTTTTGGGGTGAAGTATACCATATAAAGTGCACTTTTTTTTAAGTTTTAAATAAAACAGATTACTAGAGCATATTTTACAAGAAAATACAATTTCAGTCTTTATACTTTAAAATTTCACATATAATGTTCATTTGTTGTGAAATTTATTAGCATTTCTGAGTGATTCTTTTTCAAAAAAATGTTTTGTGTGCTGGTCTTTTATATAAAATATATAAATGTAAATAAAATATCAATTGTATATTTATTTTATTATATAAATATAAATAAATATACTAGGGAATGTGTAGCTTTTGAAGTAAAATGTGTGATTAACATTTTAGGTCAAAGGCTTGTGGTTTATTTGGCAAATATTGCAAACCAATAAAATCATGTTTCTCATGTTTGAATGCATTAATTCCAGTTTCTGTGAATCCTCCCACAAATATCTGACTTGGTGAAAACAAACTTTTTTAGTGATGACACTTGCATTTTAACTGTTAATGTATTCAGTGCTGTATTCACTGAACTGTTTTGTGAAGCAGATTCAGGGACTAATTGTGTAAATGTGGTGTGTAGGTAAGCAAACACTGTAGAGCAACATAATTTAACACTCTGATTTTAATTAAGACCACTTGCAGGCACATTTATCTCACTGTTTGTGGTAAATTACTCCAGTCTTTGCTCTTCATCATGAGTTTCACCTACTAGCTTTCATGTGTTTTCTTCGAATAGTTGGAGAGCTCCAGCCTACTGTGTTGGATCAGAGACTACGTCTGCGGCTTCCGGGCCATGAGTAGTTTTAAGGGCCAGGATGTGGAAAAACAAGGCATCAAGCTGCCAAAAAAATGGACTGATCCCAATGAAAAAGTGAGTTTAGTTTTTTATTTACTCTTCTTTTATGCTTTTTTATTATATGTATGAATGTTCGGGAAACTATTTTGCGACTAAGCAACTATTCGTAGTTTACAGTAGTTTAGCTACAGTCAAGCTAACCAATAACAAAAAGTAGCTAACTACACTGAAACGTTTGGGGTCAGTAAGATTTTGAAAGAAGTCTTATGCTCACCAAGGTAACTGCATTTATTTGAAATAAAAATAAAGTAAAAACAGCAATACTGTGAAATATTATTACAGTTTGAAAATTTTTTTTTCTATTTTAATATATTTTAAAGTGTCATTTATTCAGGTGTCACATGATCCTTCAGAAATCATTCTAATATGTTGATTTGGTACTCATAAAAAGATTTCTTATTACCATTAATGTTGAAAGCAGTTGTGCTACTTAATATTTTTGTGGAAACCGTAATTTTTTTCTAGGATTCTTTGATGAATAGAAAGTTCAAAAGAACAGCATTTATTTAAAATAGAAATCATTTGTAACATTATAAATGTATTTACTGGCAAACCTAGCAATATAAATTTAGTGTTAGAAAAGTGTTTGATTATTGCTTCAGCTCACAAAGATGTTGGAAAAGTTGTTGAAACTGAAAAATTTCGAAAACAACAATAGATGATACCAAAACAGTAGCGTCACTACGTTTAGTTGCTCTCCAACACTGATATTGATTGTTTTGAAGTTTGATATTGAAGTTTTGTTTACCATATCTTGATGGAGTCTGATGTTAACTGCTATTGTTTAATCTTTTCTTTTAGCCAAACTTACTTCTTTTCTTACTACTTTTTCCATTCTTGCCGGTAGATCCCCACAGACCGTACGATGGTTGTCAGGGGAGTTCTGGGAGGAGGAGACGCTTCCGATCCCGCTGGAGGTCCGTTGAGAAAACTGCGTCAGCGCTATGTGGAAAAGGACGGCAAGTGCAACGTCCACCACGGAAACGTGCGTGAAACCTACCGTTACCTGACAGACATCTTCACCACACTCGTAGACTTGAAGTGGCGATTCAATCTGCTGGTCTTCACGCTGGTCTACACCACCACCTGGGTGTTTTTTGGCTTCATCTGGTGGCTCATCGCCTACACCCGTGGAGACCTGGACCACGCTGATGACAACGAGTGGACGCCGTGTGTGAATAACCTCAATGGCTTCGTCTCGGCGTTCCTTTTTTCCATCGAGACTGAGACCACCATTGGTTATGGGTACCGCGTCATAACGGACAAATGCCCCGAGGGCATCATCTTGCTTCTGGTGCAGGCCATCTTGGGCTCCATCGTCAATGCCTTCATGGTGGGCTGCATGTTTGTGAAAATCTCACAGCCAAAGAAACGTGCTGAAACACTCATGTTTTCCAACACAGCTGTGATATCCATGCGGGACAGCAAGTTGTGTTTGATGTTTCGCGTCGGGGACTTGCGTAACTCACACATAGTGGAGGCCTCCATCAGGGCCAAGCTCATCCGCTCTAAGCAGACCAAGGAAGGAGAGTTCATCCCCGTATTTGTACCGAAGATTTTCGGTACGGGTCTTTCGTTCGGTATGCATGTGTACCGAACAAATACAGCATTGTTTTAACCACTGCATGAGCGTAACTATATTGTTACTTTTGACAAGTAATAAAGTCTTATCTTTAAAATTGTCAATTTTTTCAGGAAATTCAAACAATAAATGCCATTTTGACGCACTTTGATGTGGCGTGACAGATCACTGTATAAACGTCTCAGTTCAAATAGCAGCGCGAGTGAGCGCGATCATGAATGAACATCTCGTGCCTCATGTAATCGCTCAATCAGTGTTTCAACCGCGGAAAGACATCAAATGTGAGATCAACAAGAACAGCCCCTTCTGGGACATCTCTCAGGAGCAACTGGCACGAGAAGAGTTTGAAATAGTGGTCATTCTGGAAGGAATGGTGGAGGCCACAGGTGAGAGTAGATCACAGAGAATAAGAGAACAAGGGAGAAAATGAGTGCTGGCAAATGCCATAATTTCACCGTTATGTAGGCAAAAACATGTTTCTCCATTGACTGCTATTGAACAGGAGACATGTATTTGGGTTAAAAAAATTGCAAGCAAGATTACAAATATTTGATTAATAAGGTAGATGTTTAATTGATGCTTTATTTGATTTGCTGCTCAATTATTATTGGTGCTCAACTATTAATAATGGTTCTCATTATTGTCAATGTTAAAACAGTTTTTGCTGCTTAATATTTTGCGGAAAATTTTTTTTCTGGATTCTTTGTTGAATAGAATGTTCAAAATAACAGCATTTATTTGAAATAGAATCTTTTGTAACATAATAAATGTTTTACTGGCACTTTTGATCAATTCGAATCATATTTGCTGAATAAAAGCAATAATTTCTATTAAAGACACACACACACACATTCCCCAAAAATTTGAATGGTAGTATATCATGGTTTCTCCATAAATATTAAGTAGCACAACTGTTTTCAACATTGATAATCGTAAGAAACGTTACTTGAGCAGCAAATCAAGTAATCAACATATTTGAATTATTTCTGAAGGATCATGTGATGCTGAAGGCTGGAGTAATGACTGCTAAAAAAATCACCTTTGCATCACAGAAATCAATTACATTTCAAAATATATTAAAATAGAAAACAGTTATGTTAAACTGTAATACAGTTTCACAATATTACTGTTTTTACTGTATTTCTGACCACATAAATGCAGTCTTGGTGAACAGAAGAGACTTCATTGAAAACATTTAAAAGTCGTAATGTTTCCAAACTTTTGACAAGTAATATATATATATATACACACACGTTCATAACATCAAATGAACAGCTTGTAAACAAAATGTCACGTAGCATTTCATTTACCTCAGGCAAGTCATCAGTGTCCACGGCTCATTATTTCGCTAGAGAAATGAAGTGCAGAGAAGAGCATTTTGCGAAATATTAGGCTATATACTCATTTTACTTTACCTGTTAGTGATGTCTTAATTATTTAATGTACGTTTACTTTAAATAAATCTGCTATGAAACAAGTTATGACAGGCACTGTGTAAATGATTATATTTCAACAACAAATAGAGATTCAGAAGTTAATTTAAAAATTGAATTATGTGCAATTTACATGTTTGCATAACTTTTCAATTTGAGTGTTGATTATTATATTTAAAAATAAATAGTCATTCAATTTAAGTTTGGGCTCTGTTGTTAACTGTAATCTTAAAGTAGGCCTAATGTAAAAGGGCTTCCTATAGTTAGAGCATAAGCTGAGGTAGATTTTTTTATCCCTAAGAAAATTTTTATTATAATTGAATTTATTTAACAAAAAGAGCAATTTGTTCAGTTAACCACGGTTTAATAAAATAAAATAAATAAAAAAAGCAATTTTATGTTTAGTTTTTCCCCCTGCTGTACCGAAACCATACCAAACCATGACGTCAAAACCGAGGTACGTACCGAACCGTCATATTTGTGTACCGTCACCCGCTCTAACCAGAAGGAGAGCAGAGAAACACACCCTGCAACACAAAGCCAGCATCTATAACATCACTAACCCTCATAAATACAAAAACCTCCTCCAGACCAACAAGAGCACGGCTCTCATACGCATACGCTGCCATACGCAGACCATTATTAAAACACCCTGTTTTTGCTTTGCATAAGCTAAATCTAAAAGCTAAGATGTCATGTTCATGCAAATAATGTGAACTAGGCCTATGTCCAGTCAGAAAAGAAATCTAAATAAAAATGTGACACACACAGTGGGTATAGAAAAGAATCACCCCCCTTTAAAATAATCACATTTTGTTGCTTGAAATGAAGACAGCCTGAAATAAAAGACAGACACAGTTTTTGTTTTATCCTGTATTTACTCAGTGCAACATCCAAGTGAAAGATATAACACCAACATGTCAGAAAAAAAAAAGAATCACTGAGTTGGAAAAAGGATCAACCCCTTTTGTCAGTATTTTGTTGAACCACCTTTTGCTTTCATTACAGCCTTTAGTCTGATGGGATATGGCTCTGCTAACTTTGCACATCAATATTTGCCCACTCTTCTCTGCAGAACTGCTCAAGTTCAGTTAAATGTGATGGTGAGCATTCGTGGACTACAGTCTTCAAATCATTCCACAGATTTTCAGTGGGGTTTTAGTCTGGGCTCTGACTAGGCCATGCAAGGACATTCACCTTTTCCTCCTTCAACCACTGTGTGCTCAGTTCTGCTGTGTGCTTTGGGTCATTGTCATGTTGGAAGGTAAACCTTCTTCCCATTGATAAACTTTCTGGCAGAAGGCAGTAGATTTTCATCAAGCATTTGACGGTATTTTGCTCCATCCAATTTTCCTTCCATCCTGACAAGGGCTCCAGTCCCTTCTGCAGAGAAACACCCCCATGACAGGGTATCACCATCTCCATGCTTTACTGGAGGAATAGTGTTATTTGGATGGTGAGCTGTATTGGATTTCTGCCAGACATATCATTTGGTGTTGAGGCCAAATAATTCAATTTTAGTCTCATCTGCCTCAGAATCTTCTAGGTGTGTTTTGGCAAAGTTCAGTCATAACTGCATGTGGCCTTTCTTGAGGAGTGGCTTTATCATGCAACCCTCCCATACAAGCCACATTTGTGGAGAATTTGTGATATTGTTATCAATGCACACAATGACCACTATTTGTCATAAATTCCTGCAACTGCTTCAGAGTTGCTGTAGGCCTCTTGGTAGCCTCTT